GGAGCTTCTGCGGCACCAACGTGACGCGGTAAGCCGCCATTGCCGTCGTCAACATTGGGGAGCGTTCGCGCGCGGTCACGCGAGAACTCAGAGAACCTCGTTATTGTCTCAGGAAAGATGCATATTTGAATGGCTGTTAGCTCATCTTTCACAGTTAATTGAGCACATCTGTACTATGAGCCCAAGCAACAGATAAGTCAATTCATGAGCTAGTTTAGTTAATGGCCATCTTAACTATGTGTCATTTTCCACCACATCCATTTCTAAATGGGCCTGCCTCTTAAAATGCAAATTCTGCCCGCCGTTTCAGCTCCCTTGGGAGCAGTTTACCTGACGTCACATCTTCTCAACTGACACTTTCAATCACATTCAAACGGTGGCAGTAGAGAAAAAAAAAATTACTGTCCGTGACTGTATGGGTTTGTTTACGAGTGGTGCCATCAAGCCGGAAGTACCCGTGACACCTTGGTGAAAAGATCAGGGGGCCGCATACACTGCCATGCTGCATTCCTGCCGTTTGTGTTCAACGTTCTGTTGTATCCACCCCCCCCCCAACGGTGCATCAACTTTTCAAGTGCTGTCGACCAAAATCGATGGCCAAACAATCTGGGGCATTTGGCTGCGGTATTGATGGAATGTTTATCCTTTATGCGTCAACGGGGCAACACAAAGTGGTCGCAATCAACAGCAAAGGACACGTTTGATCACATGAATAGATTGTTTTTCTGTTTCTTGATTCAGCTGCCAGCGGCACCGCACGCAAACCAGAAGGGGAAGGATCAAGCGTTGACTTTCACATGACTGATTTTTACAAAGCTAAGACCCGACGTCGCTCTTTTTCATATTTGAGGAAGATCATTTATTCATATGAATTTGTTTAGTAATTATGGCGACTGCTGTAAATCAGTTCATTTTCGCATTTAGACACGTCATTAACATGCCGTTGCGTGCACGTGAATTCCTCTGGCGCGGTTTGTGCTTTGCCAAACGGTGACAGTGATTGACAAGTTGTTAATAGCAAACAGCCGGGCACTTTGAAAGGGGCCATTATCAAAATGGGGCTCGGCGGCCCGGCGTGAATAGCCCGCCAATCGTTAGCAGGGCCCCTCTCTCTCTCTCGCTCGCTCGCTCCGCTACATTTGACAACTTACATAATGCATTTCCACTAAAATAGCTTAAGTGTTACGGCTTCTTTTATGGGCAGAAATTGATTCATAAATGCAGCGAGGCGAAAGCTAACCTGGACACAAAGCTTTCAATAACGCCCATTTTATTCCCAACGTCGATGTACGAAGCGGCTGCATTAGACAAGGTGGCATGCTGATTGCTTTATGAAATCCAGGCTAATTGTTTTGTGCCAGATTCCTTGGGGCACCCTGCATTAAGACACGCACGCAGGCACAGGCACGCACACACATACATGCCCAGGGTTGGAAGTACCTCTCCAGTGGCCACTTTGTTGATCAATGAGAGGGAATTTATACGGCGGCGGTTGCAAAAGCCGGGCGCAGTAAATGTCAGCCTTTGCGCTTTGTCACACGTCGCGTGAAATCAACGTTGCATTTAAATACATTTCCTCCCAAAGTGTCTCCTCCGTGTTACTGTCACAGCCGGAAAATGATCCGCAGATGGAGTCGCAGCATCGGGAGTGACAGTGTGATTAAGGGTCGCTTGTACTGTCGCCGCAGACATGAGAGCGCAAACGCCGTCTTCCCTAGATTAAATCTTTCATCTTTTCATCCAACAGATCCATTTATTCCATTTCCTCCCCACCCCCATCGCAGATGAAGGCGTTCTTTAGAGTTTGCGTTCTCGTATTTATTTTCATCTCGAATCTCTTGCTTGATCCCTTCTTTTTTTTTCAAAGACCCGAAACATGCATCCAGGTTTTGAACCTAAAAAGATCATTGCAGATGGACTCGCTGCCTATTTTGCGCAAGGAATTCCGCCCACCCTGTCAGGTGCGCGGGTATTCATTTATTATTGATCGCTTCCCAAGCAATAAACATGTTAACCATACTGAAATTGTGAAAAGGCGACGAGGAATCCTTGGATCAGACGCGATGGATTTTTCACCGCTGCAGTCATCTGCCGGCCTATTGATGTCTTCATTATTAGCAAATGAATGTCTTGATTCAGATCATTGGCTTTTGTGGCCGTGCTTTAATTGACGCCGGTGAGATAATCGAATGGCATGAAATGTCACCGTCAAGGCGGCAGGCTTCGTTTGATGTTATCACAGTTGTATCTCGGTTAAAAAAAAAAATGTTTGGAGAAACCAGCACATGCTGTTCAGCCTTTCATTTGTTTTCACTCACCATAAAATGAATCCGCGTATCGTTCGTTCTTTCCATTTTCTAGTAAAAAAATAATAATAATAATAATAATCAGAGATTAGTTTTTTTTTTATGAAGTGCAATTATTAAATTTTTTCTTTAATTCCCAATTTTGCCGATGTAAATCTTTGGTTTAGGTCGAAAATAGCAAATGAAAAAATGGGCTCCAGGGCTCAAGTGAATTTCTTGAGTCATATTGAAGTGGTGAAAGTTTGGTCACGAGCATTAGTAAAGTTTGCCTTTCGCGTTCGTGTGTTAGGATCCAACAACCCATCGTCATATTTGACCGTTTTCAGAAAACAAGAAAAAAACGCATTTTTAGCAAGTAAATTGCGATTATGTATTGATTTTATTATGTCTTTTTCGACTCTACACGCCACAATCCCAGTTACTTATTTCAATTTTTTTCCAGAGTTAGGGTTAAAAAAAAAAAAAAATGGCTGGCACTGAATTTAAGCACAAACGGCGAGTGCGCCGGGCGGGGCTGCCGTAATGGCGGAAATAATTGGTGAAAGGAGACGCGCTTGTCAAAAAGCGTCCACGGTCCACCGAGAGCCGGCGGTAGAAAACCAGCAAGAGGAAGCAAGCAAGCAAGCGTCTCCCCGTGGGCTTGCGCATCCAACGCTTGAGGTTCATGTGATGGGTCACGCCATTCACCAATTATTTGGATTTTATGGGGGAAGATGAAGTGATTTTACTTGGCGTAGGTTGAGTTTAAAATGCCTTGCATAAATACACTTGACAGGCAACGAGATCTCGCCGGTGGAAGTTATTCAATGGAACATTTGATCCGGCTCGCCGTTGCCCTGTCTGTTCAAAATGAAGACCCGTTCGTCTGTGAATAAATAAATAAATCGAAAGCTGCAGTCTTCTTTTAAAAGCTGCGCTGGTCCATTTAGGAAAATCAATCTTTATGCTGAAAGGTGATTGTATTTTGGTTGAAATTCATTGCCGCTGCGTTGCTCTTTAACAAGGGTGTGTGGCTTTCAGTCACATTTGCGCACGCTTGACTTGACCCCCCCCCACCCACCTCGCAGAATCCACTTTATCCCCGGGGAAGAAAAAAAAAAAAAAGAGCTGCTGTGTGAAATGAGAAGACGCGCAGCTCTTGTCAGGCGTTTTGCCATCGGACGTTGAAAGCTCTTCTCGTCGTCTTTGGAAGGATAAGATCACAGCGCACGTTTGGGCGTAAACAAGTCCATTTGAGTGCGCACGTGAACTGACTCAATCAGCGTATAACAGTCCATTGATTATTAAACAAAAGAAGTCACTGCTTTTTTTTTTTTTTTTTTTTTTTTTGGGCACATCAAAGCCGAATGTCCTTTCATGACTGCCCGTCATTATCAGGAGGAAAGAAAAAGTTGCGCCAACGGTGACAAT